AGTCCTGAGGTCTCCGCAGGAATTGCAGGGTTTCCTAAGGACCCCCTACGGTTCCCAAAGGTTTCCCCAGGGATTCCTAAGGAACCTCGAGTGACTTCCTGAGGACTTAGTCCGGATTTCCGAGGGCTTCCGAAGGACTGCCTAGCGAGTCTTGAAGATTTCTTGGGGAGGCCCAGGGGGTCCTCAGCGAGTTCTAAGGATTCCCGGAGGATTCCCGAAAGGGTCCTAGGATCCCTTCCCAAAGAAAGGAGTCCTAAGGATGCCGATCGGCATCCCGACAGATTCCTTTCGGATGCCCGAGGGGTTCCCAAGGAATCTTTCGGATATCTCAAGGATTCCGCAGGAAGTGCCAAGGATCTCGTCGGTAGAGCAAAGCATTCCGTAGGAAGTGCTAAGGATTTCGTATTGATTTCAAGGACTCCACAGGGATAGCTCAGGATCCCTTCGGGAGTGCTAAGGTTCCCTAGGAGTGCTACGGATTCCTGCGGCAATGCTCAGGATGCTCGAAGGCTTCCTGGGATTCCTAAGGATCCCTTCGGGATCCCCCAGGGATTATTAAATATTCCTGTTGGATGCCCGAAGGATTCTGAAGGATTTCGCAGCGATGCTTAAGGATCCCCTACGGATTCTCATGCATTCCTTAGGGACTGTAAAGGATTCCCGACAGAAGGAGTATCCAGATCCGCCTTCCCCCCGCAGCGCAAAGCAACGGAGCCTATGCTGCACCGGCAACCGCGTTCCGTTGCGTTGCGTTGCGGGGGGGTGCGGGGGGGGGGTCCGGGTACACCAGTGAGATGTTTCACTACGTGATCGAAACGGCGAACTGGAAGACCGGGTCCGGGCACACCAGCATGTTGTTTGGCATTGTTGTTGTTGTTGCTGTTGTTGTTTTGTTATTGTTGATGCTGTTGTCGAACTCTCATGACTGAAGAATGATTATTCTTGATATCCCCCTCCAGTAACAATGTTTTTTCCCATCGATGCGCTTCCCCTGGGCCTCGCACCCGGTTGTTCGACAGGGAAACTCGCGGGGCTCAAAATGTGTTGAGGACCCCCGTTTTACAACAACAGCGGTTTCCGCTCAATAGTTCCTCACATTTGTTTCCCAAATCGCGTTCTCGCGAGGGACTTCGTTACAATTTGGATACGAATCGCGCTCTCGCGTGGGACTTCCCCGCAGCTTCTTCAGACGATGCGCCCTCGGCGCTCAGGAATCACGCTCTCCCTTTTTGGCTGTTCTGTCGATGTATGTGGGCGTGCAGGAACCACGCTTCAGCAACCCGCCTGCTCGACCTGGTCGCTTGGACCCGCAGTCCCGACCTGCCCGTTAGGATCTGCCCACCCGATCTGCCCTTCTGGTTCTACCACTTGTTTTGTGTTCCTTGCCCCCCTCCTGCTAATTTCTCTCGTGCTCCATTCGTCGCCATCCCCCATTCCACCCGTCTTCCCTTCTTTTTTTTCGGGTCTGCGCTACATGCGCGTTGCAGGTAAAGGCTCCGGGCTCGTCTTGGGCTCCGGGTGTCGTTCCATCCTCTGTCCGTTGCTGCCTTTGCTCTCCGCATTCGTGTACCTTGCAAGCCTTGTTGATGAGTGTGGGCTTTGTATGAAGAGATGCTTTAAACATCTCATGTCCGTGGATTGTTGCCGGTGTTTTGCACGGCGTCCTATCCTTTCACGTCCGCGTTTTTGTTTGTTCCACCGCTTTTCCAACACACCTTTGACGTGCACGGGTTCTCTCTCTCTCTCTTTCTCCCTCTCTCTCTCTCTCTTTCTATGTCTCTCTCTCTCTCTTTCTGTCTCGCCTGCTTCTCTTTCTATACATGTTCGTGCTCAAGGTCAAGGCCCCGTAGAACTGGTCGCATGCGACGGCGCACCGACCCAACACGCGAGCACCCGACAGCAGCGACCACCACCCGGGACGCGCCAGGAGGGGGCTCGGAGGGCGCGCGCCCCACCCCCGCGGGGACGGCCCCGACCGCAGGAAGCCCGAGACCAAAGGCCTCGAGACCCCACGGAGAGCGAGGGCCCCGGACGCCCCGGACCCGCGAGGCACCCGGGAGCCGGAGCCCCCGGGGGTCGTGCGAGGCGTGGGGGCCCGCGCGGACAGGCGGCCATACCCAGACACGAGCCCTCGTGTACGCGCCTGCTCTGTCAAGCGAGGGAGCACCAGCCGGACCGGACAGTTGGCGTTCACCGAGCGGCCCTCGGCGTTTACGAAACAGCCCTGCCCTGTTTGATTCTCTCCTTTGGGTGCGTTCACTGAACGGCTTCGCGTCTCGGGGCGGTTACCATCGGGGTGGGCTTTTCCACCTCTACCTACCCAAACACGGGCCCTCGTGTACGCGCCTGCTCTCGGTTCCCAGCCCTCGGTCCTAACTGGAAACCAGCAGACAACAACATCAACAGAACTTTTGGTGTAGAGTTCTCAGACCACAGAATGAGAGAGGCAACAGCGTGCAGCACTACACGTGTCAGAACCACTGGTGCCCAAGCCCTTTGCGGTGCCGCCGGCATTCTTGTTTGAACAAATTTTCGTCGAGATAGTCTACAGGCCGATTTTGCAACACTAGCCTGAAAGATCGCGCGCCGCCACTTCGAGGAACGCCTGCAACTCGAGGAGACCGTCCATGTCTGGTGGCGAGCTCTCCGCCTCGTCCGCATGATGGGCCAACGGCTCGCCATCGTGTGGCTCCAAGGCCGCCCCCCGCCAGCTTGCTGCCCACCACCTGCTCGGCCTCGCGGCCAGCTGCACCTTCGAAGCCCTGCGGGGTCTCCCTCTTGGCCAGCATCGCCTGTGCGCCTGCACGATCCGCTGCACCCGGAAGCCCTCCGCGGTCCCGGCATGTACAGCCTCGCCCGGAGGGCCTGCGTGGGCAGCAGCTGCATCAGGAACGGCGTGCCGACGTCGTCCAGCGTGGCGGGCTCCATCAAGCCCGGCTTCACCTGGAGGGCCCGGACCGACCTCATGCTTCGCGCCGCCGCGCACATCCACCTCGGCCTCCTGCGCCTCGGGGGCGCCGAACGCCGAGAGGTACTGGATCATCTTCTGCTCCGTGATGTGCCGCAGCGCGTTGCAGCAAAGGTCGACCCTCCCGACCACCTTGGCGGACCCGGCCGCGATGAGGCCCCGCCCTGTTGCCGCGAGCGCAGCCGCTGCGAGACCCTCGAACGGCCGGCCCAGCTCGCCCGCGGGATGCTCGAGCACCTCATTCCAGACGCCGTATACCCGCAGCGCCCAGCCGGCGTGGAGCGCATCCGTGGCGCTGCAGGTTTGACAGCCATTCTACAGGCGTGCCGCGGACACGGCCGCGGGCCGAGCTTGCCACCTTGAGCCAAAAGTGGCCTGAGCCAAAATGGCTACGAAAAGGACGAGGAGGAGGACCAGTGTAAGCCCACGACGCGTTGAACGAAGTTTCCCGCCCAACCCGAAGGCCCCGATTTGCCCTCTATTTCCAGTAGGGGGGGTTCAAGGAACATTGAGAAAACACATCTGAAGCCCGTACCCCCCAACCCAAAAATTCGGGTCTTCGGGTTGGGTTGGGGTGGTCTGGTATGTAGTCAGAAGTCGCAAGAGGCCCTCCCTCTAAATTCCTTCTTGATGGTCCCTGCAATAATCTATTTGTTCTGGCGGGAAGTGCCCCATCGGGGCAGAAAGGTCTGCTCAACCGTGCCAAAACACAATTCGTGGGACTCCAACGCCGCGCATTGACGTGACGGTTGCGCGTTGCGTCGTGACTATCCTGAATCGTGCCAGAAATTCCGCCCTCGGGATTCCAGCACAGCGAATTAACGTGACCTGCTCCGTCCTAACAATCCTAGATCGTTCCAGAACGCCCTTCCTGGGACGTCAATCATACGAATCTTTGAACCTGGTGCAAACCCTTGAGTCGTAGGCGAGAGCCACATTTTCACAAGGAATTGTCCTCCAGTCTTGAAGTTGCTGCAAATGCTTAGGACGAATGTGCACGGCGCCGAGGCGAGAGCCACATGAAAAAAAAAACGAACCGCCTCCCATCTCTGAAATTGTTGAAGAGCTGTAAGACGAATGCGCGCTGCGCGAAGGCGAGAGTCACACGTTGAAAGCGCGCTGCCCTCCACCCATGAACTTCTTGGAAGTTTCAAGCTTCAGGAGCATAAGTGGCGGGGAGGGCGAAGGGAAACGCCAGGCCCACCTCACCGACACGCCTGGGCATGCGACAGGTATTATTTTAGTCACCAGGAGAGAGACGGAGGAGGACCGACGAGGATCGAGCAGGAGGCGGAATCACCGAGCAAGAGGAGATGGATGGTCTGGTGAGGTCTCCATGGTTTTTGTCGAGCTGCTGGCCCCTTCCGGGGCTCCTTTGGGGCACGGCTCGGGATGAGGAGCTGTCGGCGTCGTCCCACCACGTTTACAGCTTGCGTGCGTCGCTGCGTCGCCCCCCCCCTGGGGCGACGCGTGCACGGAGACATCGCACAGTACATGCGTGATGGCGGGCGCTTCCTGGCCACACCGCTCGGGAACCGGCACTCTACAAGAGGAGTATATACTACACCGCTCGGGTCGGCTAGCTGGTACACCGGGGCACGCGTTGAGGGCGTGCGCACGTCCTGGGCACAGCGACCCCTCTGAGGCGCCCCGCTCCCGACGGGTGGGCACGAAAGGCCGGGCGATCTGCGCTCAGTCCTCCTGGCCTCCCCCTCCGAGGCGAGCAGCTATGCATGACCACCGCCCGGAGGATTGATTCTCGGGGACCTCGGGAGGCGGTGGATGGGGAGACGCTCGGGCCCCCGTGGGCCCACATATTCCCGTATCCACCGCCCGCCGGGGCACCGGGGTGTCGGTTCCCAGGCGGTCGACCTGGACATGTCCCCGCCTCGCATCCCTTCACTGGACCCGCACCTCTTCGCGATGGGTGCCGCTGCCGCAGCGGCGTCCCTCGCTGCAGCTGACGGTCTCCTCCCTGTCGACGCTCGAGCTCGGCGTCCTCGTCGAGTTCGGCGCCTGGGCGGAATCGTAGGACTTTGCGACGATGCCAAAGACATCGTGGACTAGAAACGCCCCCTCTCCCCCCTGGTTGGAAGTGTTTGACGTGATTTGGGCTTCTCGGTTGCGTCCTGGGAAGGCTGCGTGACTACGCCGAGCCGTGCTGGGGTTGTTCGGGGGCCTTTTGGAGGCATGTCGGAGGCTATCTTGGGCAATTCGGGAGACCATGCCACCATATTGGGTTACATGAGGCCACCTGGAGCCAATGATGTCGGTCTCACCCGAACATACTGATACTCTGTGTGCGCCGCCCCCCAAGGAAGCGACGCGCGCGCCGAGCAACCTTCTAGTATACTCCCCGCGTCGGTCGCATTCTTGCTATACCGCCCGGGAAACAGGATACGACATGTTCGGTTCGGACGTGCACCTCCGTCACGTGCACAAAGTACTGGCATGTTTTCCTGGGCCCCATTCTGGCACCTCGTCCCGCACCTATCCCAAGACGCAGGCTCTTCCCTCCGGGCGAATCCTCCAGAGCCGCTGGCTCTCAGAGATTCACGCGTCACACCCTCTCGGCTGCACGTAAGAGTGACCTTTCGCCAGAGTGACCTTTGGTGCGGGCCCATTGGGGTCTCCCGATCGCCGAACGCGATGCGACAGTAGCGTCTTGCGCGCTTGTGTTTGGTCCCCGCGCGGAGCCCCAAAAGCCGCGCACCAAAGGTCACTCTTGCGTGTAGCCGACCCTCGCCCGAACGGATCCTCCTCCTGGCGTCGTCCATCTGTGCACTCCCGCGCCCGGCCCCTCCTCGCCTCCTCGTGCCGGCCCGACGGGTGCGGCAGTGCCCGATGCCGACCTGGAGCGAGCGAGCGCCCCCTCGTGCCAGGACGCCGCGCCGCGTGCGCCCGGGGACGCGCCGGGGGAGGAGGAGGAGGAGGAGAGGGAGGAGGAGGAGGAGGAGGAGGAGGAGGAGGAGGAGGAGGAGGAGGAGGAGGAGGCGGAGGCGGAGGAGGAGGAGGAGGAGGAGGCTGAGGAGGAGGAGGAGGAGGCGCGCTGCCCGCGGCGAGGGGCGCGCCGGCCGCCGACGCCGCGGCGCCTTCGCAGCCGCGGAGCCCCCCCGCCGCGCCGGCAGGAGCGGCCCCGGCGGGCGGCGGTGGGCCACGGCGGCGGCCGGCGGCCAGCGCCGCCACGGCGGCGGTCGGCGACGGGGGGCTTGGGCGGCGGCGGCGGCGGCGAGAGTCGGTCGAGGAGGGAGGGAGGGAGGAGGGAGGAGGGGGAGGGAGGAGGAGGAGGGAGGAGGGAGGAGGGAGGAGGGACGAGGGCGGAGGGAGGGAGGGAGGAGGGAGGAGGGAGGAGGGACGAGGGCGGAGGGAGAAGGGCGGAGGGAGGAGGGAGGATTGAGGAGGGCGGAGGGCGGAGGGCGGAGGGCGGAGGGTGGAGGGCGGGGGGCGGGGGGCGGGGGGCGGGGGGCGGTGTGCCCAGAGATCCACGTGTTGATCGGTATCGTTTCACACCTTCCCATCCCCATCCCCATCCCCTTCGAGGCCTCCGCCAGATTGCCCCCCCAGTTGGGGAGACACCCTTCGAAACACGAAGGGAACGGCCCACATCCCCATCTAGGGGGGTAAATCGGCCAGTGGGGCCCAGGCCACGCCGCTGGGGATGGGGATCGGTTACATGATACTCAGTTGAGAAAAAGTCAAGGCGGGGGATTCTTGCAGTTTTCGGCCTCTGGGAGCTCGCGCTGGGCCCCGGGGCCGTCGGAGCCCGACTCGGGATGAAGAACCCGTCGCGCTCGCCGGAGGCGCCAGCTTTGGGGGTGCTACCTCCTCGGACATCAGAGCAATAGCCCAAGGGTGGGCGTGCCCTTTGACCTTCACCTGGCATCGCTCGGACGTGTGCATTGTGTCTCGGCGAGGACCATCGAGGAGCATGCTGGGCCATTTTGCGAAAAGAGCCACGCACGAGACCGAGGAATGCACCGGGAATGGACGCCCGAGCGATGGCAGGTTCAGGGTGGTTGTGGGCGGGGTCGTATTTGCCTTGATGAGGGCAGAATTGCCGGTGGTGGCTTCGTCTCAGCCCACATGGCATACCTCGGTGGCCCAGTTGGTGGTCTTTTAGGATGTTGGGGATGTGGCCGCGTGTGGCCACTGCCGCGCTCATGCGCGTCATGGGGTACTTGGCAGTTGCCAGTGCTGCGGTGGTGCCGCGTAGGGCCAGCGAGGCTGCCTTGGCAGCTTCGGATTGCGCGGGTTGGGACTCGCTGGCCGATGCGGGGGCCCTTTCGACCTGGCCTGTGGCGTACCCCGATGGCCTGTAGCTTGGCTGGTTGAGCACAGGCCGTGGCGACGTTTGGCCCAGGGTCCGGGCGCGCCGATGGAGTCGTGCTCGTCAGCGGAGTCTGGTGGCGGGGCGCCTCGGCCGATGGGGCTGTCGAAGGTAACCCACTGCTGCCCAGACGCGCTGGGCACGGCGTGGACGTGGGCGGGCTCGACGCCAAAAGTGGCCGACGAGCTGCGCTCACCCGCCTGCGCCCCGTGGCGGCACAGGGACGTGCGGGGCTCGGTGACGGCCGCGTGCGGGAAGAATTGCTCTCGCTGAATGTCGGAGCTAGCGCCAGCTCCTCGGGGTTGGCTTTGGCTTCGTGGTGCCGCTGTGCACGGCTCGCTGCTGAGTGCCATCACCTGGGCCAGGCTTACGCTGCCCTTTGATCGGGGTGCCGCCTGTGATCTGCTGGGCGAACAGGCGAAGGGATGGGAGGCCCAGGCAAAGAATGCCCCCCCCCCCCCCTACCAAGTTTAATTCGAACAGAACAAAGCCGAAATCCAGCTGACTCCACCTGGGCTCTCGTACATAGTTTCGCGGGGTCCGTTATCCCCCCTTTCGGCCGGCTTTTTGGGAAACGCAGTTATCGTGGCTATGTCGCGGCAGTCTCTCGCGCGTGCTTGTGTCAGGCTGGCGCAGCCAGCTATGGCGTCGTACCGAACGGCACCGAATCGTCACGATTGCGTCCGCTTCGGGGCCGTTCGTGCGCGCTTCGTCATTCGCACTTATCGAACTTTCTCCACTGCGCTTCGCGCGCGCTGGTCGTGGCGCCGACGTCGCCATTGATAAGAAGCGGTGGTCCAATGACGTTGTATCCCAGTGTTGCGGAGGTCCGCATCAAGCCAAACACATCCATTCAAGCATGTTACCACTTGCTTACATCATCACTATCGTATTCGTTGTCGCCATCCGTTCCCTGCTCTTGTTTTTTTCTCGTCACCGATATGTCCCAATCCCCTATCCCCTCCTCCCCGCCCTTGTCCTCCGTACGTTTCTTCTCTCAATCCTCATCGGTAGTCCCTCCTCTCTTCCTCTTCCCCCCTCCGCCTCTCTTCTCCTCCTTCCTTGCTTCGTAGGTGGCTCTGGCCGTGGCCGTGGGGACGGCCCGTTTGCCTCAGCCCCCAGCCGTCACCCGTGTGCAGCGGGCGTCGGTGAACATTCTGTTTCTTCCGCCAGAGATCACTCGCGAGCGATCGCCCGCGTGGCAACGGCGGTCCCGCCGAGCGCGCGTGGCCGCCCGCCTGCGCCCGCGCCCTTCTCGCTGGGCATCGCGGCGAACACGCGGCGGGCGGCGGAGACCGCGGCGCGATGGCACCAGGCGCTGCGGAGAACCCCCGCCCATGGGCGTCGGCAGCAGGAAGCGCAGACGGGGTTGCGGATCGCCAGTGGGCGTGTGTCGCGACTAGACTCTGCGGCTTCAAGACTCGAGGTCGACGTGCTGGAAGTGTGGGCGGGACTGGCAGGGGCGCAAGCCTGCTGGATCAGAAGCGCCTGCACGCGCGAGGTCGGTCTCTGCTGCTGCTGATCGCCGTCGCCGTCGGGATCGTGACAATGATGACGGAGAACGGGTGGAGCGGGCAAGGGGCCAGCTGGAGGAGTCCCAGGCCGTGGTCCGAGCCCGCAAGGGGCTCGCCGCTCTCCGTCGCCTCAAGTATGACGAGGATCACCCGCTGGTCGTGGCAGCCGCTCGAGAGGTCCAGCTCCTGGAGGCAGAGGAGCGGAAGACCCGCCCACCTGAAGATGTGCTGCGTAGCGCCCATGATCGCCTCGCCATCAAGTCGAAGGAGAAGTTCGAGGTGGACAAGCAGCTGGCGGAGGCGGAGGAGCGCCTCGCGACCCTGCGCCAGAAGGCCAGCGCCTTGTCGGAGGACGTGGCGGCATTGCAAAAGGAGGTCATGGAAGCGCTGAAGGCCGTCACCATCGCCACGGCAGGGTACCAGGGCATGGACCTCGCGGCCGTGGCGACCAACCTTCTCAACCTCCAGTCGCTCATCAACAATGCAGAGGGCTCGGTGGCGTCGGGCCAGGGCTTGCAGCTGCTGCAGCCGATCCACGCCGAGGTGCAGGCCATGGGGGTGGCCTTCCCTGCCTCGCGGGCTGCGGCCTTGGCGGCGGACGCCGCTGCCTCGGCCCCCCCTCCGCCGAGCAGCACTCAGGCTGCTCAGGCGCCACAGCTGGGTGGTCCTGCGGCCACAGCTGGGGCAGCGCCGCAGGCGTTGGGGGCCCCCGCAGCGGATGTGCCGCCCGCGAGGGACGACGTCGCCATGGGCAGTGCGCCCCCAGCCGCGGCCACGGCGTTTCGCCCTCCCCCTAGCGCCCCTGGGGGGGGACGCGGGGCAGCCGCGGCCAGTGCAGGCCCACCGCAGCCTTAGCTCACGCAGTTGGGCTAGGCATCGTGCGCCGAGGAGGGCGAGCAGGAAGCAGATCACGCTCGCCTCCTTCAACGGCTCATGCTGGTTCAGCTGTCGGCAGTTCCTGGAGCAAAGCACGGAGGGCATCATGGTCGTGGCGGCCCAGAAGCTGCGTGTGGATGCTGGGGATCTGCAGGCAGCGACGAGTTGGGCTTCGCGTCGTGGCTGGAAGGCTTATATTTCGGCGTGCCGTCGGTTGGAGTCAGGAAAGCCTAGTGCGGGGGTAGGCTTGTTCATCCGCGATTTCGTATCGACACGATTGTTGGAGATGCCCGACGGCATGCAGAGTTTTGAAGT